ATAACAAACATGCCTTAAGTAAAAGGAAATAGGGAAATTAGTGGATAAATAAACAAACAAACAGATTTAGAAATAAGTTTTGGAACATCTACTTAGTCTTTTCTTAATTGTTCCCAATTTTCTACAAATTCATGCGAACAATCGAATAAATATAAACAAATAGAGAAGAAACAAAGGATAACCGAAAGAGAAAAAAAAATATATGGAATATTTCTTGTACTTTTTTGGTAATATCGACTTCGATCAATATTTTTTTATAATCTTTTTATTCCATTATCCCGACACGCTTTTACGCCAGTCTGCTAACTTTGCCGTTTGTACGTGATCCCACTTGCACAATCTTCTCACCAACGTGTACATTCTTGATTACATGGTCATGCACGTGCGCATTTCAAGGTCGGAACGCAAGCAAAATCTTCTGAAATTCAATCAATTGCGTTTTTTCCTCGATTGTTAATGGCCATTCTATGAAGCACGTTAGCTGTCACGTAGAACCTGATTTTAATTATCTATAAATAATATTTTTTTCGGGGGGAAGGGCGTTAATTTATTCAATTTAATTAATTATTTTTATTTGTAAGGTTAATGATTCCTCAGGCTACAAAGTCACTTTTTTACGTGTATTTGTAACTTACTGTATATAATTGTTCAAAGAAGATACAGCATAGGTATTTACACGTTATAATAACTTTTTAAGAACGAAATTTAAGATCGTTATTTGGCTCAGTACAAGTATTTACACGTCACAATAACTTTTAAAGAACGAAATTTAAGATCGTTATTAATCATCTACATACGACAATTTGTAAGGGTCAAATTAGCATACTTGGCCTTGGAACAAAGTACCTACGAGTTGAAAGTAATTAGAATTTAGAGTTTGTTCTTACTGTATCGTTCAACGTATCATGCATATATTCATGTACAATTTGCAATGCAAACGGACCACATGCCAAAGTATAAGGCGTGGGCATCGAACTCAGTTACGTAACATCGCGTGAACAGCAGAACAAGTTAGCGAACTAGATTCACAGAAACAAAGAGAGAAAATGATAAAACAATAACGTCTTCATAACATATCAATAAACCTCAAGAAAAAATATTTTTTTTTATAGTTACGTAACATCGCGTGAACAGCAGAACAAGTTAGCGAACTAGATTCACAGAAACAAAGAGAGAAAATGATAAAACAATAACCATAACATATCAATAAACCTCAAGAAAATATCTAATTTTTTTGTTACTTTCTCTTTTTTTTATATTACCCGGACATGGCTTCATTAAAAAACGAAAACTTGAATACCATCATTATAAATACCTCCAAATTTCTTGTCTCTATCATTTATATACTCGCATAATATCCATATTTCTACAAGACACTTATCTTCCTATTTTAACTTTTTTTATTTATTTCTTTTTATTGTTTTTTTTTTCTTTTCCTTTTTTTTCTTTTTTTTTTGCTTTTTTTTTTACTTTTTTTTTTTTTGCTTTTCTTTTTCCTATTAATTACCTGGACATTTTTTCTTTTCCCTTTTTTACTTTTTTTTTCTTTTCCTTTTTTTCGCTTTTCCTTTTTTTTCCTTTCTTTCTTTTTCCTATTAATTACCTGGACATAGTCTGATAAGGATGGACCTCGAAGGTGAAGTGGCAGAGCCTCCTGTCCCCAGGAACGCATTTTCGGTAACAGTTCGAACCTGTTGGAGAGAAATGGTGTTTTTTTTTAATTAGTTTATCATTTTCATTTATATTATTTGTATATTTGGTTATTGTAGCTTGTGTTGGGAGGGGGGTGTGGGGTGTTGGTGTGTGGGGGTGTTGGTGTGTGGTGTTGGTGTGTGGGGTGTTGGTGTGTGGGGTGTGGGTGTGGGGGGGTGTTGGTGGTGGGGTGTTGGTGGTGGGGTGTTGGTGGTGTTGTGTTGGTGTGTGGTGTTGGTGTGGGGGTGTTGGTGTGTGTGTGTGTTGGTGTGTGGGGGGTGTTGGTGTGTGTGTGGTGTGTGTGTGTGTGTGTGTGTGTGTGTGTGTGTGTGTGTGGTGTGTGTGTGTGTGTGTGTGTGTGTGTGTGTGTGTGTGTGTGTGTGTGTGTGTGTATGTGTGTGTTGTGTGTGTACGTGTACGTGTGCGTGTACGTGTACGTTTGCATGTGTGTGCGTGTGGACGTGGATGCAGAGAAAGAAGGTTGCGGTGGAAGTGGATGCGGAAGAGAATGAGGAGGTAGAAGTGGATATAAAAGAGAACGTGGAAGTGGATGAGCATGTGGAGGTGGAGAAAGTTGCAACTGGAAATGCAAGGGGAGTAAAGAAGGAGGTGCAAGAGAGAGTGGAGGTGAAGTTGGTAAAAGGAGGACGAGGTGGAAAAGGTGAGGGTAGAGAAAAGACGACGTAAGGGAAGAGGAAGGAGAGGAAGACAAGAAAGAAGAAGAGGAGGAGGAAGACGAGGGATAATAAGAAAGGGAGGAGGAAGAAGAGGAAGACAGGAAAGAAAAGGAGGAGGAAGAAGAGGAAGACAGGAAAGGAGGAGGAAGACGAGAGAAAAGGAGAAGAAGGGGAAAAGGAAGACGACAAAGAAGAGGAAGAGGAGGAGGCGGAGAAGGAAGAAGAAGAGGAAATACGAGAAAAGGGAGGAAAGGGAGGAGGCAGAGAAGGAAGAAGAAGAGGAAGAGAAACAAGGAGAGGAAGGGGAGGAAGACGAGAAAGAAGAGAGGAGGGGGAGACAAATGAAAATAAGGAAAAGGAAGGGAAAGAAAATAAAGGAAAATAGAGAAGAAAATAGATTACGAAGAAGAGAAAAAGGGATAATAATAATAAAAGCACAGGAAGGGAAGGGAAGATGAAGAGGAAGATGTGGAATTGAAAAGAAAAAAATGAAAAGAGAAAGAGGAAAAAAAAAAAGATGAAAAGAGGAACAAGATACAAAAATGAAGAGGAAGTGGAGGAAAAAAAGAAAAGAGGAAGAGGTTAACAATAAAAAAGAGATATAAAGAGGAAGAAAAAAATATGAAAAGAAGAAAAAAAGGATGGAAACACGAAGAAAAAAAAAGGAAGACGATTCAAAATATATTTATAAAAAGAGAAAAGTCGAAAGAAAGGAGGAAGAAGAATAAAATAACTAAAGGAAAGGTATGGAAAGAGTAAAATTAAGACACAAGCAGCGCTTTGTAAACACCTAAGATTTTTTTTTTTCTTTTCGCCGGGTTAAGCACAAGAGATGAATGGATTAATGTGACATTAAGACGAAAAAAGGTGAAAAAAATATCTAAGACAAAATCTCAAGAAAACAGGCGGGAAAAATTTGTCCCGAAAGATAACATAATAATATAATTAGGTTATATCATGTGTGACATTAAATACCACAAAAAAATACGATTTTGAATCACTAACAACAGAGACACTTAGAAAAAAATCTAATTTCCAAAGGGCTGTAATTCCCTAAGGGCTAAAGCGAAAACCGTTAAAACCACAGAATCCAAGAAGTCAGGAAGTGGATTCTCACTGTCATGCACACCCGCTGGCGAAAAAAAAATATACTCACCTGCTGTAGGAGGTTCCTGTGCGGTTATGACAGAAGTGAGAGTCGCTATGGCCGCTGCTAGGACAAGAGCCACCATGGTTGCGGCACAGACAGCACTACACTGACACGCCACCGCCATCACGCCCTTTATATACCCGCCACGTCGCTACCCCGTTCAGGCTCCTCCCATCTGAGGGACCATGAATGCAAAATTGTCAACAACAATGATTACAATAAATACGATTAATGATGATATAGGTATAAGGGACTTACCTAACTCTGTTTTACCTGTATGTGATGTGTAAAATATTTTTTTGGGTGTTTGAATTCGTTATTTCAGATGGATGTTTATGAGAAACGTGATTAAGGAAAAAAAATATATATTGCAAGTTGGTGAACATGGGCAAGTCATGGCCAAGGGTCAGAGGACAGGCTGGGATTTCCAAATTTTCTCGAGTTTACATCTGCCCCATTTTATGTCAGAGAGAGAGGATAGAGATAGAGAGAGGAGAGAGGGAGAGAGAGAGAGAGAGGGAGAGAGGAGAGAGAGAGAGAGAGAGAGAGAGAGAGAGAGAGAGAGAGGAGAGAGAGGAGAAGAGAGAGAGAGGAGAGAGAGAGAGAGGAGAGAGAGAAAGAGAGAGAGAGAGAGAGAGGGAAGAAGAGAGAGAGAGAGGAGGGAGGAGAGAGAGAGAGAGAGAGAGGAGAGAGAGAAAGAGAGAAGGAGGGAGGAGGAGGAGGGAGAGAGAGAGAGGAGAGAGAGGAAGAGAGAGAGAGAGAGGAGAGAGAGAAGAGGAGAGAGAGAGAGAGAGGAGAGGAAGAGGAGAGAGGGAGGGAGGGAGAGAGAGAGAGGGGGGGATGAGGGAGGATGAGAGAGAGAGAGAATGTAATATTTAAATTATAAAGCATTAATTTATATATTAATTTCCTTTATATTATTTGAAGGAAAATGTGAATGTCTAGAAAGGGATGGTTCGAACAGCATACAACAATGAAATAAAATGTAGTTTGGATAAGGGTCCAGCCGATACATAAACTACATTTGTTTATGTATCAGTTGATGTATCCAATGAAGTGATCATGAAACTATGCCAACCATAAACTATAGAATATTTGGCCAGACTATATTACACACTTTCAACATCCACAATTCCCAAACTCTTACACCATACATTTTCACAGGACTCAGTACAGTGACTTCTCATTGCTTACTTATTGCAAGGTTAAGCTAACGTAATACAGTGATAATACAGCATTACAACCAACACTGTACGTGACTTTCGGAGATGCTTTGCCCTTTGTTCCGGTTTAAGATATCTATTAAGTTATTTAAGTTATTCTTTCTTTCTTTTCTTCGTCATCGTCCTTGGTAAAGATGTTCAGGATCTTTGGTATACCTAAGTAAGTCGACGTTTTGTGTTTTATTGTTTGATGGCTTGTTAGTGATGTGCAAGGATATGTTTGTATATGAATGAGTGATATTTACTTCCATTATCAATATTTACTTCTTTATATTATTAATATTCAATTATTAATATTTACTTCCATTAGTGCTATACGTGCATATATACATGCATGTGTACTTCATGTGTACACACACTCACTTGACACACATCACTCATCACTCACACACACACACACATACAAACATTCACTCACCCACTCACTCGCTCTCTCTCTCTCACACACAGCATTTGCCTACTCATGTGCATACATACGAACTTGCATACATACAAAATATATACAAGCAGACAGAAATCCCTCAGTGCTTTTGTTGGCGAGCAAGCAGTCTCACTGAGTCATGGCCCGGGACACTGGATCAACTTATGGAATATGGTGTTTTAAAGTTCAGTAAATGTAAGATAGTGCATGATATGGTGCACTTGTACGCGATTACGGTGCAGAGACAGCGGGAGTAGAAAATATGAACCCGGAAAATTAAAATTCAGTGCATTTTATAACAACGGTGCTGAGATGGTGAAAGTAAAAAGTGTGGTGAATGCTGAAGTTTAATTTAGTGAAGGGATATTAAGAATGCACATGCAGACGAGGTGAAAAAAAAACATGATGATTTGCAATGTCTACTAAATCTGCCCATCCTCCAAAATGTGAAGACAGGCATGTTAGACAGGAAAGCCAGGCATGTTAAATTCAGAGAATCCAGTACCTTCAGTTTTACCGAGAAGTTCGGGGGAAAAAGCCCGATAACACCATGCCAAAAGCACAATTACCCATACCATAAAGTGTTGAAGGTATGGTGTAACATTCCATATTCTCCCCATCACGCAAAAAAATTAAAATATTAACGGATCTCTTTATTGGTTCTACTCGATATAATTCTACGTTTTGGATCATTTGTATATCAAAACATTAACAAGATCTTTCTCTTCACAGTACCCAGTTTCCCTTCAGTAGCATAACGCCTTCGCTATCGTACTCAATAACTCGAGTAAATGTCAAAACACCTGGGCATGAGAAAAGACTCTCGAGGTACCAGTTTGTTCAAGGTGAAGGGTAAGACAAGTGTTATAAATGTTTTTTCTTTTTTACTTCAAAACTTCTGAAGTTAAAAAAGGAAATACTTTGATGGCGTGAGTTCTGAGACGAGAATTTTTTTTTCTTATTAATATTGTGTTATCTTTGAAGTATAAATATTCGTGGGAGATTTGCATAACTGTAAAAAGAAAGGTGTTGGAAATCAAAATATTTCGACAGTGTGAGATCAGAATTAACGTGAAATTCCTTTACATTATTTCGGAGACAAAACAATATCGAAGTTGCAAGAAAAAAAACTAAAATGAGTTTTCCAATAATTAATCCTTTACGTTATTGATAGTTTTTTTTTTCATGGTACATATTAGACTTAAAGTTTAAGGAAGTATCAGTGTGGTGCAATTTGACATCTTTTTCCAACAATACCAGAATGTGCAGCATGATCTTCACATTATATAAACCAAAAATACAATAAAATACCCAAACGAAAGTGCCATATAGCGAACGTATACAGATTACCTTACGAAGATTATAGAATAACGAATATATGATTAGGCATAAGACAGAAAGCCGGAAAGAATGATATACGTTTTGCAGCATCACTGTGAGCTCGACAGAAACTTGTTTGTGAAATAAGTCAACCGCCAAGACAGAGAAATTGGAGGCTCGTTACATTTATATAAATTTTGCTATGATAAGTAATGATTTACGATAATGATAACAACTCCAATAATAATAATTAGTATCATTATTATTATAGCAATAATAATAATAATAATAATAATAATAATAATAATAATGAGAGTAATAATAATAATAATAGTAATAATAATAATAATAATAATAATAATAATAATAATAGCAATAACAATAACATTAACAATATCATTATAACAATTATAAAGATAATAATAATGAAACAACAAAAACAACAACAATAATAAAAACAGCAAAAATACTAATGATAATGATAATAATAACAACAACAAAACAATAATAATGATAATGGTAACAACAGCAACAATAATAATAGTAATGATAATAATGATAACAACAATGACAGTAACAATTATAGTAACAACAACAACAATAGTAATGATAATAATAATAATAATAACAATAATGATAATAATGATAATGTTAATAATAATGATAATAACAATAACATTAATAATAATGATAATAGTAATAACAACAACAACAATAACAATAATGATAAAAACTACTTTATTGAATTTTGAATTCTGCGGCTAGCAACAATTATATAAATTCTACTACAATATCTTTTCCTAGTATGATTAATCACGATTATTCTTTTTAAGTAATCAAGTAATTTAATTTAATTTAATTTAAGTAATTTATAATCAAGTAACAAGGGCGAAAGAGATGGAAAGTTTTTAATAACAAGTCTATTCGTACACTTTCAAGAGTGACTTTGTTAGTAATGACTAGTTATATATTTTTTTATGATTCTCTTTATTGCAATTCCCGTTTTAACTGCTTCACGTTTGTCCTTTCGGAATGTGTGTGTGTGTGTGTTTGTGTGTTGTGTGTGTGTGTGTGTGTGTGTGTGTGTGTGTGTGTTGTGTGTGTGTGTGTGTGTGTGTGTGTGTGTGTGTGTGTGTGTGTGTGTGTGTGTGTGTGTGTGTGTGTGTGTGTGTGTGTGTGTGTGTGTGTGTGTGTGTGAGCGTGTGTGTGTGCTGTGTAATGTGTGTGTGTGTGGTGCAACGCATAACAACAATGATACTGCTACTACTACTAATAATAACAGCAACGATAATAATGACAAATAATAGATAATAACAACAATTACAAATAATAATCATCCTAACAACAATAACAATAATAACAATAATACAATAATAGTAATAATAACAACAATAACAAAAATATTAAACCTATAAGTGAAACACAAAAATCGTGACGCTTTCCTTAACCTTAAGTGAAATAAATGTGTGGAATATTTGGGCACAAAAGATGACGAGCAAAATGAAAGGTCACGAGATATGTGTGTGTGTGATCGATATATTGTGAAACAGCGAAAGAAATTATTGGAATCATTTCATACTGCAACGTTGGGGAAGTTAGGTTAGGATCAGCTGTTTTTTTCTCTTTTCGTTTTCTTTTTTTTTTCTAAGTGGTGCTGTTTCTTTTCTTTGTCTCTATCCGTTTGTTTGTGTGTCTTTATCCTCGGTTTCTATCTCTGTTTCGGTCCTCTTTCTTCTTCTCTCTCTCTCTCTCTCTCTCTCTCTCTCTCTCTCTCCTCTCTCTCTCTCTCTCTCTCTCTCTCTCTCTCTCTCTCATCTCTCATCTCCATTCTCCATCTCCATCTCCATCTCCATCCATCTCCATCTCCATCTCATCATCTCCATCTCCATCTCATCTCCATCTTCCTCTCTCCTCTCCCTCTCTCTCTCTCTCTCTCGAAAATTGCATGAGCATTTGTATTTCGTGGAAAGGTTAGCATTGTATATTATTTTTGGAGTCTGTCTACTTAGTCATATATTCATTAATTTATAATTATTAACATATTTGTCCTTTTTTATTATATTCGTTCAATGATGCACAAAATATATATTTTTTTTCATTACGCCCTCCATTTATTTTTGCCAAGGTGACCTTCGATAATTGTAAAGATTTTGAGGACACGGAACAAGCATGATTTTTTTTTTTTCATTTTTCCATCATTCTTGCCTGAAA